CAGTAGGTCTGCTTTTCAACCTCCAGCTCAGTCGTCTTGTGTTGGAGTTTACTGCGGTGGACGAGAGGGTCGCATCCCTTTGCCTTCAAGTGGGGGGAGTCTCTCTTAGCCTATTGGTTGAATTACAGTAAAGAGTACCTGGCCTTGTTAGTGTCCTTGTTAGGGAATTCCAATTGTCTACTGGGAAACAACAGTGACACCTGGAGGGGTGTGATTTGGGAGGAACAGTCTTCTGTGGTATCTGTTACAAAGAAGTATTGCCGAATCCGACCGTCATGTAGACGCAGCTCTTGATGAACCAAAGTTGGCTCTTTTTTCCAGGGCTTTTGCGGCTTTTCCAAAAATGTATGGTCTTCCCAAGGCCATGCAAAAGTTGTTAATAGAGAAAAGTTTAGCAGCGGTCCGGGATGAATAGTTTCACCTGTGCTTTTCTTTGTGAAATGCCGACAGCAATACCTCGACAGGAAATGATAAGGGGTTTCCAGGGGAAGTGGCAGGTCCAAAGAGTGACGTGATGTTTTACAATTAATTTATAAGGGGAGACAAGCGCAGCACTAACATTTGTGGGATGTGACGTCTTTGGCCGTAACAAAAAATTATTTTATCTTAACCAAATCGGAGCAAACAACAAATTAAGTAGCACTGAAAAAATAGGCGTGATAAATTTGATTAAATTCGGAGCTTAATGGGGAAAAGTTGACCTCGTGGTGACCTGAAAAAAACCAACAGTAGAACACGTGATTTTTTTAACTTATTTTTTTTCTCTTTTTTCATTTTTGAAAATGACCGTTGTAATATGTTAGTGCTGCTGATGCTCATTGAAACACAATTAACTGGTTCAACTTAGTTTAGCATTTAGGGATATTTTATCAGATTCAGTCTGATGGAGTTTTGTTACTTTTAAATTTACTTGGTTTTATCCACTGTAAATAATTACTTGCTTTCATTTAAATTAGTTCATTTTATTTCAGCATACTAAGGCCTAAAATTCTGGTTCATGCAATCGATATTTTTTCAACTCTATTTTTATTTTATGTTACCTATTTAGATACAGTGGAGTTAAGATTATTTAGGTTATTTAACTTTGATCATTTATATCAAGTTGTTTGGGGGGGGTTTAGTTATATGGTATTATATTTTATGTCATTTAAGCTTGGTCATTTTAACTTTTACCTAAAATAAATTGATTTTTATTCATTTATTTTTCATTAATTTAGATGTATTTTATTTTCTTTGTTTCGTTTAGATTGATTAAATTCAGCTTAATTTGTATTGAAATATTTTTTAATTATATTTTATAGAAAAGCCAATCTGTTGAATATAGTTTATTTTCAACTCCTCTTCTGATGGCCTTGCAGTATTTTATAAAGAAACCAACGCTTAAACAGGCTCTGGGGCTGATTGCTACAGGTTGCTCCATTAGAACACACAGAGTGGATAAACTTAGTGAGCAAATGTACGAGCAGTGTCCTCTCCACCACATTACACGGGGAAAATCTCTTCAATATGTGGCTGCTGCCTGGGCTGCATCCCAGCCATCCAGAGCAGAGTCAGGGAATGTGATTGACTTGTGCCTTGACTCACTCTGGCTTCCAGGAAGTCTCCTACATCAATACACATCATCATCATTGCCCGCCAGCCCAGCATGCAACAGAGTGTTTGCGTGTGCTCTCCCAGCCAGTTCAGCACAGTGTGTGTCTCTGTTAAATCACATGGTTCAGCTTTTCCCCCCACATGCCTGCTGCTTGGCCTATTTCCATGGTAACTAGTCAAAGATGTAGGCGCGTACAACACATATGTATCAAACACACAGACACTTACACAGTCCGCATAAACAGCAGTCAGGAGATCTCACCGCTGAGATCTTAGTTGTGAGAGGCTGTAGGCTAAAGTCTGAGATAGGAAGTGTGATCACACACGCCGCACAGACTCAGAGGGGAACAGGCGTGCATGCAAGTATGCTGCTGAGACGGAGGCTGGGGATGTTGTGTTGTGAAGGAAAAGTGGCACACAGGGGCATGCCAGCCAAATCCCTCCATAAATCCTCTGGCAATTGAGATTTGTCAGTTGGATGGACAAATGGACAGACAGACAGACAGACAGATACAAGTACCTCTTAGATAATGTTATGCAAACATTCGCTTGCCTGTTTTCCTCCCCATGTTTGATCAGAGTTCTAGCATGCATGACCCACCATAAGCTCCTCATATGGTCCATGAGGACCGCTTAAAAAGTGATATAACAGACAAAAGCATTCGAGATGAATTGCTGGGGGTGGGGGCTGTGATGAGTGCCCTCAAAGTACAGTATGCACAACTCTAACTTGAAGTAGGAGGGTTGTAAGTTGTATTTTATTAAATTATGTTTGGTTCACCTTTGGTTTGCAACTGTTTTAAATAAGCAGGTATTAGAAGGAGTTGGTAACACAATATTGAACATTACAATACTACTTTTTAATTTTCTTTAAATATAACCATTATTAAACCCAACTTCATGGCTTAGAATTTCATCCTTTTTTTCACGACCCTCTCAAACTTCGAACGCCAATTAGTCATTTAAATATGACGTTACAGAGCTATTGCCACTTTTTAACTTTTTGCTCCTGCAATCTTTGTAGATCAATCATGATACAGCAGCTTATTGCACATGTATTTGTTTGCCTGCACATTTTGGCATAATCTATTTTAATTCTCCAAATATTAGACAGTAAATAGCTAAGATGAACCTAAGCAAGCAACCAGTCAGCAAACACCAGAAATGGAGATTTGGGCCTGCAGCTTAAACTCAATTTGTGTTTCAGACTCAAGACTTACCAAGGACTTAAGATCTTGGACTTGAGTTTCATGGACAATATTTATCTTATGTATTACGGGGTAATATAACTATATGTTTGGGTTCTCTGTATTTCTGTTCCTGATGTGTCCTTGTAAAAAGTTAACTAGGAAGTTTGTTGGTTTTATTCAGTACAACCATGTATTGAATATAACATACCGGTAAGTAATTTCCCTCTGGGATTATTAAAGTATTTCTGATTCTGATTCTGAACCATGATCCAATCATCAAAAAGCATTATAAAGGTATTTGGTTTATATTCTGCCTGGGGTCTCTGAATAGAGTGTGCTTTGTCTAGTTTATGCACAGTGGTGTCAAAAGTACACACATTTGTTACTTAAGTAGAAGTATAGATACTGCAGTTTAAAAACACTCTAGTTGATACTTGATACTTCAACTTTTACTCAAGTAAAAGTGAAAAAATATGTGCTCCAAAAACTACTTAAAGTATAAAAGTATAAAGTAACCTTAAAAAAAAAAAAAAAAAAAAAACCCAGCCAGATCCCACTATATGAACTGAAAGCTCAATTTTACGACCATTTTGAAAAATTCTTTGAGATAGCGCCAAGGATGAGGGAGGCCCTGTTGGTCTGTGTCTCCATGTTACCTAAACGCTCTCGCCATTCAGTATTGTAAGAAAGCCCACACTGTTTCTGAATAAAAACATTATTGTATGAGTTAAGTTCTGTTCTGTTTATATCTCTTTCCTTGTAAGTATGACATGTCCCACATTCATGAATGCACCATATCTATCTGACGCTCGTGAATGCTTCACACTGGTCTGTGAACGCTGTGCTGCTTAGATGCGCGTTTGATTTTCCACTTAAGACAAAGCTTTGCAGTTTCAAAACATGATGCACAAGCATTATTACGAAGCATCAGTTAAAGCTGCTCCCCTCAGGTGCATCGCTGCTCGAGGCGCCGGATCAGATCAGATAACTTACCTGTAACTTATGCAGGGGGAAGCTAGATGGGGGGCCAGGGGTGGCCATGGCCACACTTAGGCAATCATTGGCCACCCCTGAGGCCACCCCTACCATTGATTTGCCTCTAATACAGATGGTGGCAGCAGTAATACTCTCAAGTGGAATATTCAAAACATTTACATTTTTTGTGGTTAATTATACATATTCAATATACTAACAAAGATGATAAGTACAGAATTCATGCTCTTTTCAGAACTAGACTTTGTGTTATATGGGGTAAAGAGAAAATGATGTGTCTCTGCAAGTCACCTAGGAGTCTTCAGTGAAATCATAAATAACAAATTTAATAGAAACTTATCAAATATATATAATATCAATATAATATCAATTTTATGCAGAATCTTTATTGATACGAGTAGGTAAGTAATGATAATGGAAAAGATTTACGCAAAGATTAACTCAAAGCTGAAAGTGATATACCTTTATTAAATCAAATTACAGATGTTTAGATATATGCATCTATTTGTTAGCAAAGGCTCTAGGAAAGTATAGTTTTTCTTTATTTAGAAAATATGGATGTTTTGCTTGTTAATTTTCCTGTTGGAACAGTGTAGATTGACCCTGAGGTTCTGGTGCCTATTCGCTTTCGGCCACCCCTCACTGTACATTGTTTATTGCCTGGCCACCCTTATAAAAATGTTCTGACTATTCCTCTGAACTGATGACCCACGTATGGCATACGCTGGCGGAACGTCAATAAATTTTGAGCTCATTGTGAGCGTGTTTCAGCGCACTTCAGCGTGCTCATAACTTATACAAAACATACCCATAACTTATCCAATGCATGCCAGCTTTTTTGCCAGATATTTCGTACGGCAGGCACGCGTTAGTCTAAACCATCAAGGTGTGAGAGGGACTTAACATAAGCAGCATGTTGTATTTGTTTACATGTTAAATAGTGATGGATCATGTTCATACTCTCTTCTTTTTTCTGGTTGAATGGTCCAAACAAACAGTTTGGTTATCACCTTCTTTGAAAGCAGAAAAGACCAATTCTCCACAGCTGGTGGAGTTTTTAACCAAACACCTAGGAGTAACAACATATGTTTTTTTTTTTTGTTGTTGTTCTTTTTATCAGTGAACTTTAGTTTTTCTTTTGAGAATTGGGGATTGTAGGAACTCAGTATGTGGCTGTTTGCTTGGGGTTTTGAGTCCTAACAGATTGGTCTTTGTGTCTTCCAGATAAAGTGAAAGAGGAGAAGAAACCACAGGGATGCCCACATGAGAGCAGCATTGCTGTCAGAACCACTTCTTTCTGAGAGAATCTGCCAAAGGATAAATTGGAACTGCTCCCATGGCTTCAAACTCAGACTTCTAAATCCATGGAGCTAAAAACAGCAAAACAACACAATCCCTGGCAAACATAAGTGGACCACTTCAGAAGAAAAAAAACACGGCTGGACAGTGGGAGGGTTGTATGGGGTCCAAATCCCTATCCAAGACATCTTGCATCTCTTTAGTCCACAGCCGCCTCTTACCTCCTACTTTTACTCTATTCTCCTGCTCTGCCTTTTTCCTATTCTCCGTCTTTCTCTCTCATGGGAGTGACATAGAAGCTTTGCTTGGTCTTTTGCCCCGTCCTTTTCCTGCATTCTTCAGGAAACAGGGACATCCAGGTAGTGATGTCGTGGAAGAGGAACTATTTTGCCTCCGGTGGTGGAGCGGCTGCCGGGGTGCAGGGGCTGGTCACCCCGAGAACCATGAACTCTATTGCGCCCAGCAAAGGCCTGAGCAATGAACCCGGACAAAACAGCTGCTTCCTCAACAGCGCTCTCCAGGTCAGTCTGGTAAACATCTATTCAACCCATTTATAATGTGCTGCACTTTGCTCTCTTTGACTTCTTAGGTTTAATGGCAGCATAGGTATTTTATAGGATTTTATTCCAGACAAACAAGGTGCAGTGTATAAGTGGAAGGTTTCCATCATTCATCATGAGTCAGTTCTTTGTAGATCCAGTTCAAATTACGGCTGCACAGAAAGACGGACATTCCTACCATTTTTTTTTTATTCTTTCTTTCTGTATAGCTCAATCTATGTCAGATAAAATAATAAGTATCTGTTAACAGCATCAGATCTCAGATGCAGTTACGTCTTGACCGTGACTGGACTGTTCTAACACTTTTATAGGCTTAGATTTATCTTTGGTGATTTAATCTAAAATGTGCAGATTGGTAGACCATCACCCTCATCTTAAACTTCCTCCACAGAAACACCTTGGTAACTTTAAAAGATTACTTTGATTACTTTGCTTCTAAATTTGCCATTGGGGTGGGGGTGGCTTAAATGTATTGTTGATTTTTTAAAATGAAGAGTCTACATAAAGGTTCTTTGTAATGATTTGAAGCCTTACCAAGCCAACTATAGCATTATACATTATGATATACCATAAATCCTCTAATATAGGCCGGGGCCTTTATTTCACTCAGGTACATCTTGGTCCAGGACATTAGGGGAAGGAGGCCAGAATTAGAGGCAGGCCTCCATTTCTATTTGATCAAAACAGACTACCAGTGGAATGAATAAAAACAAGATTTTGTGTCTCTTTGAACCTATAAATACTAGGTTCATTTATTGAAAAAGTACAGTTACCATAACAGTATACAGAACATTATTCAGACATCTTCCAGCAGCTGCAATTTTTTTGCACGGCAATACGAAAAAAGAAAAAAAAAGACACAGAATGGAATATTGGCCAAACTGACTTACGAAAAAAAGTAAAAAAAAATAAAAATGGCAAACTTCTGGAATCACAGCGAAATTTAATTTGAGGCAGGCTAAGTGGAAGTAGGCTACCAGTATCATATATTTCAAGGGAAATTCAGAACAAGGAAGGCCAACGAAATTCTGTCATTGTAATGCTGCCTGGTTACCACCAGACCTACCGGTAATCATGTGTCTTTCAGATCAGAACGATTTTCTGGCTGGTTATACTCCTGCAGCAGTGTGTCACAGTGAGCTTGATGCAGACATTTTTGATTTATGCTCAACATTGAAGCGTGGTCTGCGCTATACACTGTGGGTCTAGATACAACCGAGGAGATGAGGAAGTGGGGGTGAGTAGTCCGACAACCGAGGGACATGACGGCGAAAAAGAACGGAGATTCAGGTGGAAAAAGGGTCCTACCGTTCTCGCACATCTCGCTCTTCAAGCTGGTTAAACTTCCCGAGTTGTTTTCCGCTATTTCGGTCATAAAAAAAAAAACAAGCCGACCTCCTGTCTGCAGCACTGTCTGCGCTAAGGATGGGCCTTCCAATGCTAATGGCGTGGATTCGTTAGCAAACATTGCCCCCTTGTGGTACTTGTATGTTACTATCACAAGTTGTTGAGGACTGCCCAGAAACATCTTTGGTTCTAATTATAGCCCCTGCCTGTATATGAGTCCGGTCAGTATTTACCTCCACCGACAGCCAGACAGGCCATTATTAGAAACCCAGCTGCTGATAGAATCTGGCTTATATTAGAGGATTTACGGTATTCACTTTGGCGCTATTATATATATTCATATGTTATTAAACATTTGTGTTTTTTTGTTTCTACTTTTTCAACCGGCAAGAGAGACAGTTGCCTTCACTGGGAAGGCACTTGCACACCTCTGTCTTTGCAAGTGCCACCCATTTCATAACATTTCCCTAGAGTCACTGTTGCATGGTATCACTCCACTTTTGGCAATTAAGCTACTTCTGCCTTTCTTAAGCTAAGCTTAACTAAGTCAGGGACCTCTCGCAGCTGTAAAAATACATCTTTGCAATGTAGACATTAGCTAAAAGAGACTTATTGCTGCCACTGTGCAGATTAGGTACTAAAACAACCACTTTATCTCAATTATGACCCCGTTGGATCATGCTCGACGCAGTCAAGCTAGGTTCCTCCAAAGCTTGCAGGTAGTCACTGCACCATGCAAAACGGTGATGTTCACCTATTTTTTAGGACAGGGTGATACTGCTGCTCAGAGAAAAAAGTCAAGAGGGTTACTAAGAGATTGATTAATCAATACTGGGCCTGATTTTGATGAGGGATTAGCTTTATTAAATGTTTTTTTTTGCATCCTAAAGACTTTTTAATAGAAAATAACANTTTTTTTTGCATCCTAAAGACTTTTTAATAGAAAATAACAAAAGCTGATATCTAAGCATGAATTCAACTCTGAAAATAAGACAAGGTAGGTTTGGTTAAATTGAGCATTTCAGTAGAAAGACAACTCAAAGCGCTAAACTTGTACTCATACTCATTGTCTTCCTCTTATCCGGGACCGGGTCACGGGGGCTGCAGTCTCAGGAAAGACTCTCAGATTTCCCTCTCTGCAGATACCTCCATTCCTTTCATTGAGCACATTTGTTGAAGACCCTGGAGGTCAGATGCTGCAGTTACAGAAGGGTTTATTAGCCTACTGACTGTGGCAAATAAGATGTAAGCATTGCTAATGTTTTTGCTGATGATTACAGAGCAGAAAGATTCTTTTGCATTTTTCAGTTTTAAGTTATATCTGTGGAGTCTGTCTTTATAGATATTATAGTGAACCTGAAGTCCAGACTTTTGTCAACTGCGTTCAGTCTTTCATCACATAGAGCCTGACAGAATACGCTGAAAAGCATTTAGAGGAAATCAGCCCAAAATTTAACTTTTTGAGCTGTGTTATATTTGTGGATAAAAATAACACTAGACATCACCCTGAAAGCACCATTCCTACATCAAACCATGGTTGCGATTTGAGTTAAATCTGAGAACTTATATACAGATATGTACATATTCGAAAAATCAATAAACCCTTTATGTGTAACTCCTATGAAGAAGATTTAGTCCATAGCTGCAAGTTTGTCAAGTTTTAAAAATACTAAAGAAAACCTGAACATTTTATATTTTAAAACCTTGAATTTAATTTTGTGCATATAATTTAAGTTTTAAGACCAAACATACAAAAAAATCTTTACATCAGCAGGTAAGCCACATCCTATTCCTGAAGTTGAATAAAAAAAATGACTGTTAAATAAACAGTTTTTTATGCCGAGCAATGTAAACACACACAGACTAATCAGATCGACAAAAAGTCTTTGCACATACTGCATCAAAACCTTATTCCCTTTATACTGTAAATCTAAACACTCTTAGGAAGCACTTTGGAGGCCCTAAAAATTAACAAGCAGCTTTGGAGACGTTGGTTGGTCTACGCTAATATGCACAACGCTACCCAACTGTTTATCCATTAAATATGTGTTGCCCTGCCCATCTGCTCCTAGAACACTGCAGTAAACTGCAATCAGTGGATAGGATTAGGGTAATGTGACCGTGTTGTGGTTGAGTTTGGCTCAAGCTGACCCTAGGGTGGACATCCATGTTGTGTGCACAGAGATGCTAACTCTGCACTACTCACACATGCACACACACAAAAAAATATATATACCTATATATATATCTTGCCTCTTGCTAGACTTCCAACTGGCTTACACCACTCTCACACACACAAAGAAATGCCTCTTGACTATTGGCTTAAAAGAGAGAGAGGCGAAGAAGGGGAGAGGTTAGAGTAAGCTGAAAAGGGATTGGGCAGAAGCTTAGAGAGAGTTGATGGGAACAGAGGGGTGTAGATGCAAAGAGTAAAAGTTGCAGACTGCAGAGAGGAGAAGAGGAAAGAAGGGATGAGGAGTATACAGTATGAAAAAAGCGAGGAGGGGACTTCAGGAGGTGCTGCTGTGAGGAAGAGAGGAAATAAAGACGCCAGTAAGGTAAGAGGAAAAATGCTGAGGAAGGAAGACAGGCAGGCACAGAGAGGGAGGCCTGATGATGAGGCAAAGTGGAGGACATAATGAAGAACCATGCAAAGCAGCTCCAGTAGAGTGAGAACTGGGCCATCTCAAGGACACATTTAGAGACTCACATACAGTGAGGACGGCATATTTAGCTGGACACAGATGAGCTGGGATAAACTGAGGGACAGAACTAAACTGCTTTTGGCAAGCTTATCATTATGCATGTGTTTGGGAGTTATTTTCCTTGTTTTACATTAAATGCGATTGAGTACAGTAGGAGTTTTTCTTATTTACCTCTATAATTTAGTTCACTTTTTTAAATTGTGTAGAGTACCCAAACCACCTGCTAAAGATTAAATTAAAACTGCTTCCCTAGGAGTTAAAACTGCTTCATGTTTTTTTTTTAAAGTGCTGGTTTTGTCCAAAGAGCACAGATTAGTGCAGATGGTCAGGGTCCAACAATGCATCTGGTTTATGAAAAGATATTTATAATCTGATTTTGGGTTCACAAGAATAAGATGAGTAAGTTCTTCGCCAGTATGTTGGTATAAGCAAAGAAAAACCTTTTTATTGCTTCACCAACTGAGTGTGAAGTATTACACTAAATCCAATCTTTGATGGGATTCGAGGTGTAACTATGCAACTGTGTATAAACACAAACTTAAATGCAATCCAAATATTTGGTAACATTTACGATAGGATTTGTTTTTATATCTTTTTTTTAGCCAAAATGTATTAACCCTGGAGGTTTTTTAGTTTAGTTTTACCAATGTTTTTCTGCAGACTAGAAACAATATAAAGGTTTTGGAGTGACTTATACATGAGGTAAAAATTAGGGTGATGCCAAAGGGACCCTTTGGCCTTAAAGCAATAAATATAGAAAAGATGCAAAATGCTGTTATGCTTTTTACATGCTTTGTTTATAACAAAATAGAACAAAAGACATGTCAATACTTTATCAAAAAAGGCAATTTTCCTTTCTTATTACTTGATTATTGCTTGTCTATCGATGAATAATTTCAGCTGAAGTTG